CAATGGAACGTGGATTCAGCCTGAATAATACTGCCAATTTTAATCTAGATATTACGTTTGGAGGCGAAAATGAATTCTATTTTTAAAATAAAGTAGTAAATTTTTGTTTAATGATTTTCTTTTGTGTATATATTCTAAATATTTCACTATGATTCCGATAGTAAGGTGTAAAGCAGATTTACGATACCAAGGGAGATAACTCTTTCATCGCAAAATGTCATAAAAACGTCTATATATTTTGCCAGAAAAATGCTATCAAAAGTGTTTTGCCCACCGATTTTAGTTTTGAAACTGAAAGACAAAATATTTCTAGATTTAGCTCAGCATGAATTGAAGTCCTGTTAAAATGTATTGGAAATTACAGTTCTTTGTTTCTGACCTAATCTCAATGGTTTATATAAAGAAATTGGGGAACATCAAAGGATGCTGACCATTATTGTCTGCCATAAGTATAAAAAAAATTATAGATTTTAAGGCAATTTCAATGATTACTCAACACTTGGACCACATGTTAAGGCATTTCTAATGCAGAAACACTGATTGAGTTCCTGTGGTGATTGGGTAGAATGTGAAATTGTTTATTTTATTAATACCATATATATTAACGGCGACTATATTAACCTGTAGACCTGTCGACCCGTAGACCTGTCAGCCTGTTGAACCGTGGACCTGTAGACCCGTAGACTTGTCGACCTGTAGACTTGATATATTTCCGTTAGATATAACATGTCAATATATATTAAATACATGTATTCATGCCATTAAAAATGAAAATATGTTGTTATATGCATATAATAAATATTAAAAAAAAATATCAGTTCTTTGATTGTTAATTACTATTACAATTAAGAGGACAATTCACTCCTGTTACAATATAAGTGAATTGGCAGAAATCACATATCCGTTTACTTTACGAAATCCGATATTTCTTTTCTGAGTAGTTCCAACAAATATTTACAGTCATTTCTAAACAGTGCAGAAAATCACAGTACATGTATAAAAACAAATAATAATTAGTAAAAGAAGGAGACGTTTATACCTATTAAGATGAATTTATTTAAAACAGTTGTGCGGTATATTAATTTTCACCAAAATAAATCAATTTATTTTTTGTTATTGATATTGGAATCCATATTTTTTAATTAGAAAATTAAAACTTTAACGATTAGAAAGTTTAAGTATTCCGATCCTCAGGGTTATAAAATTAGCAATTAAGTATTTAATAATACTCATAAAAGTATATCTACATCCACAAAGTTATGTAAACTTATCCACAGTTTTTTTTTAAAGTTTAAGTTTAAAGTTTATCATAATTATTATATAAGGAAAATTGTTAAAATCTCCAATATTTTTTTGCAGAAAAAGCGCATTGGAATATAAGCAATTCATTTTCTAATTGCAAATTAATCAAAAAATGTATTCTAGGTAAAAAAAAAAAACGATAAGAATCCAGGCATTCAGAGAAATTCCTATGATTTTCATACTTATTTAGTATTTTTTGTCTTCTATTTCCGTCATGTATTCTATAATACATAGTATAAAAGTATTTTGCTATCATTGCAAGACACCACAAATCACTTCTTATTTCATATCAAAGAAAATCTTATTTTTTCTAAAAGTGTATTAATTGTTTTCCTTTTATAGGGTACCGATGTCAATTTTGATACAATCTTTTCTTAGACTTCCGAAAACCTTGAATCTGATAACGATGAATAAAATGAAAATTGTTGCATGAAAAAATGTCATTTTCAAGCTTCATTTTGATGCATTTCAAATTAAATATCAATATTTGGTGTTATCCTTCCTGACTGACGATCGTATATCCTTAATGACTATGACCATAGAAGTTTTTTAAATTTTAAAGAATGGAAGTCCTGCTTATTTATCTGATCTTTTAACTTTTACCATATCATTTTAGGAAAAGTAACACAGTACGGGTACCTAGGGTAAGAACTACAATATATGGACTACACTCTTTTAGATATGCAGGAGCCGAACTATGGAATGAACTCTGAAACAATTAAAAATGCAACCACAATTAATCAGTTCAAAAGTCAAATGAACAATTGGAAATGAGATTCCTGTAAGTGCAGCTTCTGCAGATCTTAATCTTCATATTTTAATTGTCAGCTTTTTGGTCAATTTCTTTTTAGTTTCATTTTTTATTTAGTTTTTTTTATAGGGGTATTCTTCTTCTGTTTTAAGTTCTGTTTGCTTTTTTTGTTTTAATAATGAGTAAACTTAGTTACCATAAACCTTATCTAATATATTACACATATACAGCTGTACCTTTTACTCAACAAATTTGCTATATTTTTATCAAAATATATAAATCATAGACTATTCTTTTAGAGCAAAAGTACTATTTTGACATTCATTTATATTCAATTCCTGTGTTTTGTCTTATTTTTATGCATGATATATGTGCTGTTCTGTGTTGTTTTGTGTGTGTACCTGTAAACATGTCTGTTGTGATGCATGACAATGTAATCTTAACTATGTTTTATGTGTATTGAGTCATTTATGTATCTATGCATAAATATTTAGTACTAATATTATGTCGGTCAAAAGCTCTATAGAGCTTTTATGAATTGTTGTAAAACTCCGACTTTAAATAAGATTTTCTTATCTGATCTGATATAATGAACCTTACATTAAGGAAGACAATGTTGTAACCTGTTTTTACTGGCAGGGACCAGTACGTACTGATCATATAACTAATCTTTATTCTTTTTGAATTCTGGATAATTGAATACAGAAGGATAGATAGTTTTCATGGTGCTCCTCAATCTTTCAATACGAGACTTTAACATGAATCTGGTGCATTTAATTCATTCTGACAAGGTGTCAACGTATTTTTTTTTTCATAACTAGCCCAATGTTCGACAAGATCCATAATATTATGAAATTTCTACGCCAGTTGTAGGACCGGGGTTCCCTATATTAAGAACCTTTTAAAATAAGTGATCTAAGGTACTGATTATCAATTATATTTACGTCACCTGTAATAACGTGTCTAGCAGGACTATACTCATAGAAGAACATGAACACGATGGAGGATTTTGTTTTAGACAATCAGTATACAGGCGATTTAAAGTATTTATTTTAAATTGAAAAGTTTGGAAGCAATGATCGATGTGTATTTGTGGTAAATACAAGGAGTAGTCTTTAACTTGAAATATGGTGGAAAAAAGACTAGACCCTTTTGTGATTAAGAATTATACTAATATTAACTGCGTCAATTCCTTTTTCGGCTTATTGAAGTTTAAGGAAGTAATTATAAAATGCAAACAAGGTCAGAAATACAAAAGAAAAATCCCAAATTGTGGAATTAAATGGGAGAATATAATAGACCTAAATATTGATGATTTATGGTGGAAAAAAATATTTCTTCAACATAACATATGGTATACAGTGAAGATGGTTCTACTATAGAATTGCACATAGAATTTTACCTACGAATGCATTACTATAAAATTGGTGTTCCTGACTAACAATCATGTTATTTTTTCCAGAGACACAGAGATCTATATTTTTATAAAAGTTATGGTAAAACACGTGTGTTTGTTATGTATGCAGATTAAGTCCATCGGTAAAGGAGATCGATTGGTTGTTTACCGTAGTATTTGTTTACGGGTGAATAGGTTGAATCCGTGCTACGCATGATTCAGTAACGTATAAGGTAGATTTTTGGGTGTTTAAAGTTATTCGAAGTTCGCTGCTACATTGCAACAGACTTATGTTCGCTTAGATCGGAGATAGAAATCAGTCTATACTAGACGAGCCTAGCTTTATGCAGAAACAGTTGCTGATTATACACAAACAAACAGAGCCGATGTTCTGGGCATTTCTGTGGACTCCATGTGGAGGTAAATTGGCACATTTGAAGGTGCAGCTACAAACTAGTAATTTCTTTTTCGCGACTTTCTCACAGAGAGAACGAAAGTATAAAGGTAACATTTGAATTTTAAACACTGTTTATATCATTAACGATAAGATAATGGGGACCATATAAGCACCATCTGTGTTTTTCACATTTAGGCAACAAAACATTTCATTGTGTTAATTGTAACTTCTGAAAGCTTGATTGATTAAAACGTTTGTCAACGTCTATCTTTCATTGTTACTAAGCCTCATAGACGTTACGACTATATGTAAGCTACGGCTACGACTCTAACAGTAGATAGAGGTACGCATAGAACAGAGAATCTGGTAAGCATTTGGACACAGATTTATGTCCGGTTTACAGCTTGATTTTAGCTTATAATAATAAAAAAAAATTCATGTGTTACTTGAGAATTAGTATAATTCTGGTATAGTCACGGTTGTAATTAATAAACGTACGTACCTGGTACATATATATAATTTTTATCTGACGATGGGTTAGAATTTGGTATATAGGAATTGTGAACAAAGTTTCTAATTCATAGTTACGAGACACACTATTTTGGAAGCTAAATGTATTTGAATTTCTTTATAATATGGTTCGAAAAGTTCTACAATTTACAATTCTACATTGTACTGTGACACACGATGCATAGAACTGCATATAGCTAATTCATGGATCTGAAGCTGTTTTCAAATCTTGGAAATAGTGTAAATTGAATATATAGTTCCTGATATTAACTCGAAAAAATGATGAAACATCGTTTTATGTTAAAGTTTTTATTCAATAAAACTTTTGTGTAGCTTCAGTGCACGTGGTTTTTATGCTCCTATTTCTGGACGCTGTTTTAATACGTAGAAATGAAGAACATAAGGTAAATGTATGTTATTGATGCTCCATAATTTGTACATTATGTATTCCGATGCTGATAAATATGATAGCCTGATTCGGTTTAGATCATTCTGTTTTAAGATTATTGGTTTACGAAAATATTTAAGATAGCCTTCATTATGCATCTTGCATGACCTAATTTAGTATTTTTTCTATCTTATGAAGAAAATACGACTAAAGAGTTGAAATCATGATGATCTTTGCAAGAGCTGTATTGATGTAATGCAGACAAGGCCCTTTTCAAGTTCTGTAATAAACTTGAAGAAGTTGGCATGGAATGGGATGTAGTATGGTGAAGACAAGGCCCTTTTCAAGTTCTGTAAGTAACTTGATGAAGCTGGCATGGTCTGGGATGTAGTATGTTGCAGACAAGTCCCTTTTCAAGTTCTGTAAGTAGCTTGAAGAAGCTGGCATGGTCTGAGATATAGTATGATGCAGACAAGGCCCTTTTCAAGTTCTGTAAGTAGCTTGAAGAAGCTGGCGTGGTCTGAGATGTAGTATGATGCAGACAAGGCCCTTTTCAAGTACTGTAAATAGCTTGAAGAAGCTGGCATGGTCTGAGATGTATAATGATGCAGATAAGACCCTTTACCAGTTCTGAAGTAGTTTGAAGAAGCTGGCATGGTATGAAATGTAGTATGATAAAGACAAGGCCCTTTTCAAGTTCTGTAAGTAGCTTGAAGAAGCTGGCATGGTCTGAGATGTAGTATGATGCAGACAAGACCCTTTACAAGTTTTGTAAGTAGTTTGAAGAAGCTGGCATGGTCTGAGATATATAATGATGCAGACAAGGCCCTTTACAAGTTTTGTAAGTAGTTTGAAGAAGCTGACAAGGTTTGAGCTGTAGTTGATACAGAAAAGACCATATATAAAATTCAGTAAGTAGCTAGAAGAAGCTGGCATGGTTTGAGATGTAGTATGATGCAGGCAAGACCTTTTCAAATTCTGTAAGTAGCTTGAAGAAGCTGGAATAGGCAGAGAAGGCCCTTTTCAAGTTCTGTAAGTAGCTTGAAGAAGCTGGCGTGGCCTGAGATGTAGTATGATGCAGACAAGGCCCTTTACAAGTTCTGTAAGTAGTTTGAAGAAGCTGGCATGGTCTGAGATGTATTATGATGCAGAAAAGGCCCTTTACAAGTTCTGTAAGTAGCTTGAAGAAGCTGATAAGGTTTGAGCTGTAGTTTGATACAGAGAAGACCATATATAAAATTCAGTAAGTAGCTGGAAGAAGCTGGCATGGTTTGAGATGTAGTTTAATGCAGCCAAGACCTTTTCAAATTCTGTAAGTAGCTTAGATGAAGCTGGAATGTTTCATCATGTACATTGTTCATACAATTAATTTTTTTTGAAATTCTTAAATTTTCGACAAAGTTAGAATTTTTGGAATGTAGTATTGACTAGTATGTTTATCCAAAGACCTTTACAAAACCTGTAAGTATCTTGAAGAAGATGGGAAACTCTTAGATGTATTGTTATGCAGACAATTGCCTTTTTGGGTTTGTAAGTATTTTCGAAGTTGGCATGACCTTAAATATAGTTACCTTCTTGTCTTTTCAAGATGTGTAAAATTATAGTATTCTAATTGAAGCAGGAAACTTTGTTTTCTCGATAAATACAAGTACATAAACTTCAAAAGATATACAAAAGTGAAATTTGTTTGAGATTTATTTGCAGACATAATGTTGAAATTTCAATTGACAAAGCGAAACTACTGTATGTTCGTATTTAATACTTTAATAGCTTAACTACTAATAGAGAATTGTCTTGTTTATTCTATAAAGGAGGCCAAATTGTAACGGTGCTTCTTATAGGCACATACTCTATTGGATTCTAAGCGTTTAGAAAATATATTGGGAATAATAAAGCAGTTTGAAATCAAAATCTGATTTTGAAACTTTTGGAGCAAAGTTTTTTCAGATATCTTTCATCAGGACAGACGGTCCGGATGATTTGCAAAAATTTCATTGAAGGATTTGTCTGAAGACTTCCAAAGCTGAGTTAATATCAAGGTTCGGACAAATCACCTAGTCAAAACCAAAGAGGAATAATGTTTACATTCTGGTAGGTGTAGTTCAGTTCATTTGTCCTATTGTTTATAACCAAGTTATGTTTAGAAAAGGTTAATAATAGTATTTGATCAGAAGAGTATAATTTATGATTGATTTAAATTCATTTCGTATTGAAAAAGTTATTCTTATGTACCTGGAAGTCACAATCTTGTACAAGAAACATAGAAATTCTGTATGCACTCAAACTTATACGTTTATATAAGTAATTTTATTTTTCATAGTGTTTTAACGGGATTGCTTTCTCAACTGCAAATGCTGATTATGTATAATTCATTGCATAATAAAAATCAACGTCTACAGGCTTTTTGAGTTCATCTTTGGTACATAGAAAAGGAAACTTTTTCAGCCGGGAAGGATAACTCTTTTATTTAATATTTTATTCAAAAAGTCATGAAAGTCTCAAAAGGAAGCTTGAAATTGAATTCTTTATGTACAACAAATTACATTCATGTAACTTGAGGTTCATTGCATTGATACTCTGATAAGAGAGATACATGTAACTCTGAATGACATAAATGTCTAATATTCCTTTATAGATCTGCAAGTTGTCTTTTTTTTTTGTCCATTTGCTTGTATTCTACTTAAAAATACATTTCTTTTTCGGAAAATCATTTAGGTTCAAGCAACAATTTATACAAGTGAGCAAAAGTTTTATGAATCTTACAATGTAATTGAAAGTTCTTTGAACATATTTATAGAAATGTCCTCGATCTAGCCTTAAATACCAATTTTTACAAGTTTGATATGAATTTATAATTGATTTATTAGGTTTTGCATTCATTGCAAACGCTTTATTAACTATGCATAATAAAAAATGTGCAGTAAATAGCAGAAGTTAAAGAACCACAGAATTCAAGCATAAAAATATGTGCAAGTTTCTTCAAATGCTCGAATACCTATAATTTTTAATAAAGATATAATTGTAAAAAAAAAAAAAAAAATCGTTTGGGAAATGCATGCTATAGGTGAATTCATTTGCATTCCTGAAAAATTATTATATTTTTATTTTCCTATGTAATATAATTAACTTTTCTTTATGAAGTTTGAAGAATGAATGTGAGTAAATATGCATCACTTTGAGAATTCAGAGACATTTTTTGATAATTTTAAATTATTCATGGCCTGGTTTGAAAAACGTAATAATTGGATTACCTTGAAGTCTTGATATCTAGGGGTGGGGTCATTCACGTTTTAATAATTTTATGTCAATGCTTTCTTTATCGTCGAAGTCTGTTGCACTCGCGCATGCGAGCTCATCCTATATAAAGTGTTTTTGAGTTTAATTTATAAATAATTTATGTTCGTTTGAACTGGTGAATTTAGAACATAATGATATTTTCAAAAAAGAGATTGAATGTGATAATTTTTAATAGGATGATAAATATATATGTAAATTAAGTTATACAAATACTTTATGGTACAACATTTCAGTTTCAGATGTATATATACTGTAAACCAACTTTTATTCGTGTGAGGGAAATTTTCGGGACGTTCGCGAGTACCTTGTAATCGCGAATATTTCTCGCTGCGAACATGTCCTTAAATTATATGTGTTTACTAACAACAGATCCAAAAAGGCTTGTTCGCGAAAATAAATCGTCGCAAACTAGTTCATCCCTATTAATTTGCGAAATAAAGTCGTCGCGAATAAAAGTTGGTTTACAGTTTCTATTTTTCAATGATGACTAGATCAAAATTTCATTAGTTAATCATTGGTATCAAAATAATCATATGCATGTTATAAAGCGGATGATGAGAGAATGTGTTAAGGAAAAGTATAATTTCATATGATAAACTGTATTATTTATTCTAGAATTATTTAAACATAGTGAACCCAGAGCTCCTACACTGGCACTATGGCATTCTTCTATGACATGTGATGGGATAATAACAAATTGAAAAAAGAAAGCTTCGTTTGTATTTTTTTCATTATATTAAAAACATGACGTCGCGATGGGATAACAGCCTTGTTTAGAAAAAAAGATTTTCCAATGCAAAAGCCATCCTTTGTTGTTGATATATATGTAGCAAAACTTATTCGAAAGCATATTTTATCAATTTTTTTTTTAAAAATCTTGTGACTTATTTTTATGTGACCAAAAAACAAATTTCTTTACCGTATGAAAAAATCAACGCTTCTTAAAGTAAATTAAGTTTTATCTAAATGATTTTAAAATGCATCTTCTTAACGAAGTTTAAAATATATATATTGAAATGGTTACGAAAACTTATGTATAATTTTTGTGAAGTATTACGAAAATATAACTAAAATGTAAGGTAAAAGCATAGGAACTATACTCCATGTATTCGTGTTTATACACGTACATGTTTTCGAGTAATTAAAAAAAGATCTAAAATTCCATACATTTTTCAACTGTTTTTGAGGAGGATAAATCGTCATTCGGAACGTCATATTAATATCCATCCATGAATATGGCCGATGAATGAAGTGTTTGTTTTATCCATCTTTGGTCCTTTCGTCCGTATGTCCTTTTTTTCTGTCCTTTCATTGAGCATTGGGTTTAGCTAATTTTAAAGCTCGGGTTCAAAGAAACCATTCAAGACGTTTTATTTTAAACTTGGTTTGCTGATACATATTGAGAATAAAAGTTGTAGTCTTTTGACTACGACCTTTCGTTTGACATTGACTGCAATTTTTCACATAAGTATTTTACTCAGTTTTAGAAAACTTTCAGGATATTGTTGTCAAATATCGTTCGCTTGTACATGTACATACTCGTGTTAGCATTTCAACTTTTTTAATATTACCTATTTTTTTCTTTGACTATGACAGCACTTATTTTCATCTAATGTTATCTCAGTTTTAAACTAGATGCTGTCATGAGACAGTAATACCCGCACTAAGGTGTTTGCCTCTAAATGCACACTCCTCTAAAATTAGGCTTTACCAAAGAAAAAGTCAATATAATTTAATAATTTACATAATAGGGCCTCCATGTATTCATCAAATTGAGCATAATATTCTCAATTGAACATGTGACCCGTCACCATGGGCCTCCATCTTATAGGTACATGTATTTCATATTCATAATTCATTACCAGTCTGAAATTAAACAACAGAATTCAATTAATGATGTAAATTAGGTTTGAAACAAGGGGGGGGGGGATGGGGGGGTAAATTTTTGGCCCATAATTGGAACTTTTTAAATCTATTTTCTCATATAGATCAACAACAAATATTATTCAAATTAGTTTAAAGCGTTTTTGATGATTTTTTCCAAAATGTACAAACTTTTTTATACTTGATTAGGCAGAAACACCTTGAAAGCTGCCATATACCATTTATACCCAATCAATTTAGTCAACCCCCACCCTTCTCCCATCAACACACACACGCGCAAACACACCCTATTTTCCTGTTTTTGGAAATAGGCCTAGATGGCAAAGTTAAGATAAAACATCTTTTGTAAATAATAATTTTAAATTTGTTCTTATACTGTAAATGTATCTGAAGACCTGCATCACATTGGGCTTGCGTCACGTACCTAACTTAAGTACTAGTTTTACCATTATCATTTTTAGATAGCACTGCACGTGCAGTACTACTACTAGGCCTAGTGTTGTGTACACATCATTGCATGTATGTCAGTTGGAATTATTTTGTGTTTAATTGGATTATATTTCATGAAGTTGGAGCTATGGCAGTCGGTAAGTACACGTTTTGGTATAGATTTGGGTAAAATAGTCTGAAATGCAACTGGTTAGGTTAAAGTTTAAAGGATCAAAGGTCATCCGATGCTGCAATAAGACGAATTTCACATTCTAAAGAGTTATCGCCCGTTATCGACGTTACATTCAGTTACAAAATACAGAATTTTTTTCTGAGAGGGAGGGGGGACTTCCAGACCAGAATTTTCTGAGAAGCAAATAAAAGGAGAAGTTATGGTGGTGTCTGTTTTCTAGGGTGGAGGGCATCCAAAGTCTTTTTTATATTATAGTCCTGCAAATTGGGGGGGGGGGGGGGGGATCTCAAGATACACTTCCAGTCCCTGTAAACAGTAATGGCAAATGATCATGTGACTCCTAAATAGTAGGAAACTTTTTCCATTTGACCATACATAATTTTGCGCTTTTTGTGTTATTATGTTATGTAAATTTAATGGTATAAAGGTTTTGAACCCCCTGGAGGTCATCCCCACTCTCCTAATGATTCTAACTGGAAATGTTCACAA